CAAAAAAGGCTCTTGAATTGAAATCCAATCCCCAAGTTAACCATCGTACTCATCTGAAAGACTCCTGCGTGTCTTAAAATTTGGTAAGACTTCTAACCGTGCTGTAGAAAATTTGCCACAAAGAAAACTCTAAGTCTGAGCAGCGAACGATGCACTCTCTCACCCACCGAACTTCCCCGTGTTTTTATTTGAGTTGTTCGTGGCGGAATGCAATCTGGTTAAATGCAATGCATTGTGGTAAAAAGTGTGGTTAAATGCAATGCATTGTGGTAAAAAGTGATGAATTCGAGAATTCGTCGCCCCTCATATATTTCCTTTAAATCCTGATTATGTTGCTGCTCGCTCCCCTCGGTCGCTCCGCAGCAAAAATACGGGGTAATTAATATTTAACTTTTTGAAACAAAAGAAGTTAATTTTTAACTTTTTCGTTAACCGTAACTGAAAAAAATTAACCGATAGCCGTAAAAGAGCCAAAATTTTAGCCGATAACCGTAAAAGCCACCACCCCATTGGGACCCTCTTACAAGTTCTCTCTGGGAAACTTGGCACAACATTGGGCGTGACACCAAAACCTTCAACAGACCAATTATGATGATAATTAAAATTCATTCTTGCCTCGTTGGCTTGGGGAAATAAAACGAAAAGAATACATTATTAATTTTATTCCTGAACGTCAGTGCCGTAATATACTCTTGCTCTTTCTATCGGTTGACTCAATCGAAAGTCTTAAGCGGCAAGATTGTTGATTAAACAGGTGACCTGCTTTGCCACAGGCAACGGAATTTGCAAGCCGCCACCAAGAGACAACCCAGAGACATTCCGTGCTATTATGCATTGCTTGTGGAGAAACGTAAAACACAACAGATTTGTGCACGTAATTAGAATTTCTAACCAGCTTTTTGAAGGTGAGCAAAAAATAAGGGTGACAAACGCTCTGTACACGTTTCTTGTTATCAAAGAAATCCGTTAAGAACGGGCACGTAATTTGTTTCCCGTAAACACTTCTATAAGTTTAACATTCAAGCTTAAGTTGCTTAATTCAAATGAAGTGTCTAATCTTGTAATTAATGTTACTCGGCAAAGCAAGCACAACAGTTGTGTAGAAGCTGCTCGTAAGGTGTCTCCCGATTAGTCGCAGAAAACAATGACATGTCGTTCTTTCAATTGTTTTAGTATTGTTCGAGGTCAGGGTTAGTTACATGACCCAAGCACAGCTCGCTTACTCTTACATGAGTTGTGATCTATTTGTTCTATATTAGAGAAGAATATATCATCTAGTCTCCAAATCAACTGTCTGCGAAGCTGGGTATGGGAAAGCGAAATGGGGACAATGAACAGCTAATTTAAATGCGAGGGGGTTATGTAAAATATCAAGCATGAGACGCAGTGTTTCATCACCAGATGAAACACCGAGAAAAGGGTTGAAAATACGACGCGCAGAGGAGCATTTTTTACGAATTTCGAGGTGTTTCATCTGGTGATGGAACACTGTTTCGAATGCTGGATATTACTTCTCAAACAAAATGATTTTAGAAGGAACAATTAAGGATGCAAAAATGAGCAGTTTTCATCTGATTTCCAAAAACTCATTAAGCATTTAAATTTCCATTGTATTTTCTTTATGAATACGTAATCAATGAGAAGAATAGATCGCTGGTGTCAATTATTGATTGCCTTGTTGAAATTTTTAATAGGCCATTTCCGAGTTGCCTTAAATCTCAGTTTTAAAGCGAGGATAAGTGCAAAGCCATTGATGTAAAAATGATGTCGAGAAAACCAAAGTAGAGCCGGAAATGGTAACTGTACTCGCGAGTTTTACTTGGCTTAAAAGTAGGGAAACAATCAGATCTCTAAAGAAAACTATTGTGAGCTATTTTAAGAATCATCGAGAGCTCTGAGCTCAGGGCTTTCGGTTCCAGAAACGTATCCAAGATTCGTTAAATCCATCAGCGACAGTTGTCCCATACAATTTCACTCCCGTGTGTATCAGTAGCCTGCGTTACAGCCGGTCCACCACGCATGGTGTAGACTTATTTTTTATAGTATAGTCCTCAAAACAGGAGGTTTTGCGCATTTGCGAAGAAGGCCATGTATAAGGACTGCGTTCTAAAAAACGCAAGAATAACTTTAAAGGTTTAAATTAAATTCTTTGGAATTCTATTAACTATAGATTCTACTATGCCCAAAGATAAATATGTTCATAGCTAGTGTCTATGGAGATTTTGTACCTTTATCCATAGCCTGTTCCAACTGGTGTTCAGATGGTGGAGTGCGGCGCGCCATCCCCGCGATCTGAAGGCCAGCTGGAACCTAGGCTAGTTGCTCCAAGACCGTTGTAGATATCGGAAGCTTTCCGCTCTTTCTAAAAGTCACTCTCTCTTTTTATATTTATTTTGTTTGCAGTTCGGCCGTTCGTTAGCAAGGCAGAGGTAAGGTCGCTATTTACTGGGATACTGAACATCTATCTACGTCATATGTGGTCATCATTTGATCCACACAAAACAAATTCTATTTTGTTTTGTTTAATTTTATCTAGCTAAGATGTCAATGTTGGCAGTTTTGTAACTGTATGCATGGTAACTGTAACAACGTGCTACCCTACTATACTGTCTCCCTCCCCACACAGTCCACGAAAGAAAGACCACCCAACCGGAATCTGCCTTAATTGCCTTCTTTTTTCTTGCAAATTCCGCATGTAGCACTTAACAAACAAAACTACATTTGACATAACTTATTTAGACTGTTTACCACGTGCACGTACACAAGAGTATGTCATATTTAAAGAGAGAATCAAGTAAGAGGCGGAGCATGAGGGTAACTTAAAATACTTTCTACTAACAACATTTTTGATCACGTTTCAGGAGTTTGGTAGATCAGATCTCTTTTCTTTTAATCTACCCATCTAACTTTATAATCTCCTTTTGTTGTAATACGTAAGGCAAAGGACAGAAAACATAATCTTATATCAGTTTTAAACGTTAACGTCAGTTACGACAATTTTCAAAGTATTTGAACAAGTCTTTCCAAGATATTTTAGTATTTTTTAGGGATCGAATGAAGAACTAATGGTTCCCAAAAATGAACGTGGAGCTGAAGCTGTAGCTGTAGCTGTTAAAGGTCAGCACAAAGTAGCATAAAAATAAACAGTAAACGTTTTGAGCACCACTCCTTGCGATGAACAGTTGTACAGAATTTTGAGTAATCTATTCAGCCAGGTCTTCATTATTATTTGTAAGTGTGTGTTTGGTTATAGTCTTCTGTCTACTTTCAATTTCTACCTTACTTTTGCTAATCGTGGGTTAGTTAATTACATCAATCAAGATCTCTACACATTTCGTTGCAAAGTGGATACCGGCATTATGGACAGCGACCTCTAATCAGTTGGTAGAGATAACAAAATTAAATGCGGAGATCGTTTCTCTGCCCCGCCTTTTCGGGCCACATTTTTTCTACAAGGTGCGGGGAAATGGTTACTGCCGCAATAGTTATCTTGGTCGATTACAATTACAAGAAAACAAAGAGGAAGCGCTTTCACTTATCGGTGTACTGTCGGTTTAGCAAATCCCAATTAGCATGTACAACAGAGTAATCAAGTAATTTAAATACAAGAACAGAAAGCAAGGCTCATCCTTGATAACAATTATGTTTATACTTTTCCTTTAAGCTCGAGAACAACAAATCATTGATCTAAACCACAAGCTGATAACAAGTGCTACAGCCGGAGACTTCGAAACCTACTGGTATTTTTTTAGTAATATTTATAGAATTACTTGCTGTTTGAACGTTAAGCGATGGCAAGAGAGGATCTAGTGACAGAATTAACTGGTCACTTTAACATTAGTACAGGAACCGACCTACGTTTTCCTCTTTCTCTGACAAAGTACGCAAACCAACCTCGGAACGTATGACAATCAGATTAGCGACTTGTAAAAAAGGCTTACAATTAAACAATGAGTGAGTGAGTGAGCCATTTAATTTGTGTGGTTGCAAACCTCGGTCATTTTTACTGTTTTCAGTAAACTAGTGGATCCACAAGTTACATCGTTTGAACCAGTATCTCGAGGCAATTTGGTTGAAGGGCTGCAGTTTCACAAGTTCTATTTTGACAACGGTAAGCGACCTGAAAATAGCGCAAATTCTATGGCGCCATAAGTCGTTACTAAGGCGAACACTACTGTAAAGGACGTGGCATCGTTGACGCCCTTGTATTATCAAGAGAAGCTTAATCGCGTGTCTGGCACCTTAAATCACGGTAAATGTTAGGGTATCATCCACTGTAAAAATTCAATTTTTATGGTAGATGACTCGAGAAATTTTCAGTTTTCAATTGATTAGATAGAGCTCGATGAGAACTAACCCAGAACGTAGAAGAAGCAGTTTTAGCCTTGAACAGTAGCTAGTTTATTCCTCGCTGGCAGGGAGCATAACCTCGTCTATAATGAGAAACTGCTGAGGTAACTCAGTTTCGCCCCGTGTAAGGTAATCCGGCGGATTCAGGGTGGAAATTTTTCCTTGAGGAATCTGGAATTCTGGGCTTTGGAATGCGTACAAACAAGGTGGAATTTCCTCTTGGTACTAACGATTGGAATCCGGAATGTAAGTCCCACTGATAAGGAATCCGGACTGATCCAGTACCTGGAATTTTGGTAGCATGTCTGATTGCGGGTTCAAATGTGATGTTACACGGAGCGATTCGCAACGACGATATTTAGCGCAACACAGTGTTACGACATTGTTGCGACGTTGTCTCGAACAGTTGCAACAATGTTCCAACATTGCAACGCAGTGTTGCGCTAAAAATCGAAGTTGCGAATCGTCTCGTGTAACATCACCGTAAAGGATATAATAGTCAGAAGGGGAGGGTGACCATTAGAAAACATATGGGGGTTGGGGGCGAAGTGCAAAAAAAGTATTTGTGCAAGGGAAAACTAAATGACACACAAAAAAAATAATCATGCCCGCCAAATAACCCCCCTTTCTGAAGGATTTTTCTAGAGTGATTTTACTTGAACCAAGAAACAGATACTTACAAATAGTGCAAAACAGCAAGAGGTAAACAGAAGAAGACAATAGCATTAGTACGTAGTATTTTACCACAAATTTCACGGTTCAGGTAAAATCACTCTAAGAGTTAATTTAGATCATCAAATAGAGCAAAGTTAGCGATAACACTCCTACGAAGATATTACAGTAAATTTGCATCGCAAGAACTTTTTACCGTTTGTTATAATTAGTTTGTGTCAATTTTTACAGTTTTAAGTAAAAGAGCGACCCCAATAAATTGGACAATTCTGTCGCCACGTGTTCACATGCTGGGAGATGATGCTGCGTGCATTTGCTATGTCCGACTTCAGCAGTTCATCAACAGGTAACACAATCCCTTTACCGTATTTTTGTGCTTCCGACACAACGCCACAGTTTCATTAGAAACTAGCTTCTTTATTAAGCCTTTTGCAGAAAGTTAATGTAATTTGGACTCGCAGAGTACAAGGAATCCTGACTTTTTCCTCGCTGATAAAGGTCAAAAAATGCGCGTGTCACTTACGAAGCAAACAAAACTGCCCAAGTTCTGTTCGCTTCGTTCATAGAAGCAACTGTCCCTAAACTCTTAAAATGGCCTTTTGTGATAAAGAGTTGGATCGATTGTAAGGCGCAGTTGGGAAAATGCTCCCGCTTAAACAGAACTGGAGAGAGCCTATGAAAATTGCTTTCCTGGCGCCTAATGTTTAAAAGATGGATATTTACCATCCCCCCAAAAATTATGGTTTGTTTTTGTTGTTGTTTTGTTTCACACTTTTCTCCCTCCTCATGGACGGGAGTATTACTGTCATCATCTTTACTTTAACAGTGACGGTGTTCCATTAACACGACAGTCCGAAGAAACACGGGTGTGGCAGAAACAACCAGGAAAATGGGTAGTAGTCCATTTCCATAAATCCATCGAGACGAACAGCCCAAGCAGCTAAAAAGACTGATTCGGGTCCCGTCCATTCTAATGTGTTTTCGATTAAAACGCATACCTTTCGATGCGTTTAGGCCCTCCGTCCACACTAATACGCTGAGCGTTTTCATCGAAAACTCATCGATGAGAAAACGCTCTTGAAAGTGGATCAAAACGAAAACGCATACATACATCGTATTAGTGGGGACGGTCAAAAACGGCCGAGTGAAAAACGATGACGTCATATGTACAGGCACGTGTGTTTGAAGCATGCGCATAGAGTCCTATTTACGTCACAACGTGCAATTGTATTGTTTTCGAACGTTTTAGTGTGGACAGTCGAAAACGTATCAAAAAGGTAGTGTGGTCACGAATCCATCGATGCGTTTTTTATGACAACGAAAACGCATTCTTTTGAAAACGCATTAGTGTGGACAGGGCCTTTGGTCTTAGTCAATATACACCAACAGTTTGACAATCGTCTTGCTTGACGGGAACAATTGCTATACACGAGGAGAGCAACGGAGAAGGATTTGCAAGCAGGGAAATGAATAACATCATAGCAATGTAACGTGCAAATACTTTACTTTTGGAATTTTAGTTTTACATAAGAAATTACATATCTGTTGTAACTTCATTATTGCGAATAAATAACCCATGCGTGTATTTGTAAGAATGTGTTAGCAATAGTAGTTTCTTTAGAAGTTTTCATTTTTAATTTACCATGGACGTAATTTGGAAGAAGGAGAATTCTTACAGAAAGCTCACAAAAAATTCCGAAATCTGGGTGAGAATCGGACTCACGACCCTCCAAGTTCTAATTCGGATTCTCTAACCACTGAGCTACGAGAGGCTCTATGCTGAGTAGGGTCGAAATTGAATTATTGCCTAGCTAGTCCCTGTACGGGGACCTTAAACAACGACGACGGCAACGGCAGCGAAAACGTCACCCAAAAAAAGAATTCGCGCTGTTTTAAACTTCATCGCTTATTCCAACTCTTCCACTTTGTCGTAGGATGGTAAAGGACTATATCTAGCTTCACAAAAGAAAAAGAAAATCGTTGTCTTGTGTTCCCGTCCTCCACAAAACATGAAATTAGGAAGTTTACGTTGTAGACGTGCATTGATGGCAAAGAAATGTACAAAAAAGCGTGATGCACGTGCAGGGTTGTTGTTTTGCCAGTCTAACCCTATTGCTTTTTTGCCGTCTTCGCTGCCATCGCCGTCGTAGTTGCTTAAGCTCCCTAGTGACGTACCTGAGACGAACTCGCTCAGACTACGTGTAGTACTAGAGCGCTTACCATTTGTACGGAGATTTCGGTGAAAAGTTTCCGTCAAATGGTACCTGTATTGTTTTTGGCACCGAAAATAGGAACGGCATTGATGTTGTACCATTTACAAAATAAGGGCAAATTTTTCGCTTTCTCTCGACATGAAGCCTGGCACTAGAAATCCACACAAATGGTACAGAATATTTCGGTCGTTTCGGTAAAAAGGTAATACCTAAAAATAAATTTCCACGGGGATGAACCGTCCCATTTGAATTCTCCCCAGAATTTCCGGGTTTTCCATACAAATGGTAAGCCCTCCTAGTCATGTTTCATATTCGTAATATATCTGTGCAGGATACACAAGAACTGCAAATAATTTAAATTAAAATGTTCAAAAGGAAGCAACATAATTATCGCAGTTATGTACACAACTTAAGGAGTAACAGTTGAAGATCTCTATCCCACACATTAAATATTTGAATAGTCCAGTTTCGAATTAAAAATTACCGCTGAATATTAACATTAACGACACATTCATACAGGGTTAGCCTCGACGTAAAGTAAAATATTCACAAATTCTGGCAAGTAAGTGTTTGAAATTTGAATATACACAATAGTCTGAGTAATAAACAGGTCTTTTTCTCGTTGGAATTTGTGAATATAATACTTCAGATTGAGGCTAAGGCTGTAAAAAATGCGTCTTCACTTCTTTAATTCAGCGGTCATAGCGAACTCGAAAATGGACTATTGCATTATTATTTCAAATAATCGTAAACGGCAGCACAGTCTTTCCACTACCCGTGCGGTGGTTTGCCACTATCTTTCAGAATCGTAACCAGTCGCTACTTACGTGTTTTGTGCATGAGAGAAGAATGGGGTTAGGTTGAGGTGCGCGGGGACTTACGGGAAGGGACAAAGAAAAAATAGCCACGTAAATACCGACTCAAAACTCAATGAAGCAGTCAAAACTGAGCACTGCCTTGTGCTCCGCCTCTTCTACTGTCCGCATGAGCTGAGATCTTTTCTTGAAAATAAGATACACCATTCACATCTGTTACCGAAGCTTTATTATCCGTGACATTATGTCCCTTTTCACGCAAACTCTGCACAATACTGGCTTTAAGTTTTGAGTCTTTAAACCTATTACCTGCAAAATAGTAATACAGTGTTAGCTTCGTGAAACCCGAAAGTCAATATACGCACTAGCCTTTCCTCAGTGGTCTTTATACAGCAGTAGCGGAGAGAAAAAGTGAAAAGCACAAGTGATTTTATCTTGGTAATGTTTTTCCCCTATCATTTGATTTCACAATACATTGAGCAAGATTTTCAGTTTCTAATTCAATCTAATTGTTCTAATTGTTCTCGCTTTCGGCCGATGAGTCCAGCCAGCCAGGTGGGACTCGAGGCTTACAGGTTCGAATCCTGTCGGGAACGGTTTTTTTTTAACAAATCCTCAGTGGTCTAGTGGATAGTGGATGGTTAGTGTGGTGTAGTGGCTTTTTTGGAGAAAAAAGGATGAGGTGATAAGTGATTTACTACTCTGGGAACCAAAGCACGGCGCAAGAAAGAGAGGAAGACCAGCATTAACATACGTAGACCAGCTGCAAAATGATACTGGTTTGAGCATTGCTGAACTGAAGAACATCATGGAAAACCGGAAGGAATGGATGAAGCTAGTTAATGGAGTTCGAGTTCGCTCGAAATAAGCAAGCAAGCAAGCAAAGCAAGCAATTCAGTTCGAATAGGGCGTAATAAGAAGAACACTAGTGCTAGTAGAGAACAAGAGGGAACCGTCAGGCCAGTATTGTGCTCCACTTCTCATAAGTTTGTGTGCCAGGGAATGCGACTGATGCTGGCCTATGGTGCTTCTAGCAATTCTACCGAACGCCAATAAATTACGTGATAATCAATGTTTCAATTTGAAGGGCAGATGTTTCGTATACATCCCTGTACTTATTACCCGAGAATAAAAATTGTTTTTTATATATATTATCCGCCCACGTTGTATAGTCACTAAGCTGTGACTAAATCATATCTGGCGATTAACAAAGCCTCAAATATACCAAAATAGCTTGCAAATTGCAATACAACCTCTCTCATTNGGGGGGGGGGGCATACCACTGAGAAGCCAAGGATAAGACTTTTAGTAAAAAAGAATCAAGAAAAATAAAGGAAAAGACTAACTAAGAAGTCATTTATTTATCTTGCGGAAAATTAAATTAGCAAAAATCAAACTAGTTATCTACGAAACGTGCGCAGAGTAGGAGGGTGATAATGAAAGTACCGACAGCATACCTTCAATTTCTGTCAGACCAGTGTCTACTCCGTAATACACTCTAGCTCTTTCAATGGATTGACTCAATGAGTCTTCAAACGCAAGTTTATTGATTAAAACCTGCGCTACAGCCGACGGAATCTGCAAACCTCCGGAGCAGCCTACGGACATTCGGTGCCAACATCGCTTCTGAAGAAACATAAAACACAGAGCAGAATGGGAATTAGAAATTCTGAGCATGTCTTGCTATGTGGGCGACGCTGTGCTCACTTGAACATCAAAACCTGTTGAAAATAGAGCATTTCAGGAAAAGCGTTTCCCGTGAATCCATCAACAGTATAAACGTGCGCAGCAGGCGCTTGAAGCTCGGAGGGGTACACTTCAGAATTCTTGGTGGGGTGTGCCGCCCGGTTCTGTCGCCCTAAATCCTCACTCTTTCTTAGACTTAAACGTGCCTTTTTCAACAGGCGTTTTCAATCCTGACCTCTAAAATTTACTTCCATAAACTTTACCGTTTTCAGACATGTCTTCTGAAATTTCTACTCGATTTACCAACCCATTACCTTGTCCAAGAGAAGTCAACATATTGTTAACGCAATTTTTATTATTTAGTACCATTTGACACTCACTGTACGTGTGAGTCAAATACGTTTATACGCCCTCATGGATCCCTTGAGAACCATACCCGATTTCAGGCCAACCATAACTTATCAAAACTGTACCTCTTCATGAAGAACTGCAGTTGGTACCACTGAAGACAGAGGACGTCTGCCAGGAACCACAAAATTAGCCTACAACAGACAATAAACAAACACTCAAAAATGTACACTATGCAAAACGAAAACATTAAAATTATAAGCATTTGTTTCGTCACGCAATCCTCCTCAAACGGGAAGACTGCATAACGTGCCAAAACAACGCCGACAACGTTTCAAGAAGCAACTCGAGCCAGTGACAGGTTTCTTACCGTGGGTGGTCCAGCGCCTTGTACATTCTGTACACCAGGTATGGAAAAATCTGCCATTTGATTGTTTAGGATGATTCCACTGTCTGTCATAATGCCAGAACCAAAATAGCCATTGATTGTACTAGACAAAAATATGCGACAGGAAAACAGATAAGCATGTTTTTCCCGGAGGTCGTTTCGATGCGAACTCAAGCAGTGAAATTGCACAAAATTTCGATCCCTTCAAGTTTTTGCGCGAGAACAAGAAAACCATTTTGGGTGAATATTCTTCGTTCTTTAAGCCAAATACGTAAAACTACTTAAAACTCGACTGAATAAACTTCTATCGAAACGACCGGCAACCGTGGTGATCACTCTACTAATTTGTTGTTCACATTCACTGTTAACTCTTACGCTACAACTAAATCTGGGTTTAATTTAACAAAATAGGCTTTTTCTTCGTAACAAGCGCTTGTTATCAACAACGCGTGAAAAGGTTCACATCTATCAAGTTTATCTTCAAGAGCAGTAAGTAACTGAAAACGTATTGAAAGACGTCCTTTTCCTCTATTAGGCATCACACATGCATGTAAATGCGCGCATTCACGATATTCAAGTTGGTATCAAACATTCCGACGGGTACACATTTGCAATCAAACCAGGTAAAACGCACCCCTATTAAAAGATTGGATTGATGAATTGAATATTTGAATATTTAAGCCGTTTTGTTGTTGCTAATACATGTACTAGTATCAGGTATGTAGAAATGAACCTCTTATCGGAAACTGCAAAGTTCAACAGATTAAATTTTCAAATAATCAATGGTGGGAGGGAGTACACTTGACTTGGTTCGGTTTGGGCGTACATACATACATGACAGGAGAGACACTGTCAAGACAAGTTTACTGACTAAGAAAACGACTCCATGTTAAGGTTTGTAACTCAGGGGGACTCCTATATAAAAGTGACGGGGCTGCTCGTCGGAAAATTCGAATTAAACCCCTTAGGGTGACCGATGTGGGTGTGGCTCAAGCTTAAACTGACCCCTAAAACAGACCATACTAAAACAGGCACCACGACATGTCTTGCAAATTTCTGTTTGCACAGCCCTAAGCGATACCTGAATTGGCAAATATAGTGACTTTCCGTTCCACACACCCAAAATGAGACCAAAATCTACAATTTACACCCCTAAGAGAGACGACCAGCATCCCCGTCACTTTTATACGGGAGTCCCCCCCACGGGGGGGTTGTACCCGGACTGACAGTGCGACGCTTAAACTCTAATTCACCCTCACCTGGTGAGACTTACGATGTCCCCATCAGGGCCTATAACTGACACATGCGCTGTACCATGTGGTAAGGATTGATCAACATCAAGTCCATAATGAGATTCTCCATACGTTCTATTGGCAGAAATTTTTGATCGGAGCAACTTTGCGTACTCTTTGCTGAAAAAGAAGAGTTAAAACTTACAGCTAAACAACCAAAACACGGGCAATGAACATAAGTGCTTGTAAGATGGCACTTATCATAAATGGTTTAAACCATGTCATAAATGGGTGGTATATGATAGTCCGCGTAAAATGAAGTCCTGAATATAGCCTGCGTGGCAGGTGTTAAAAGGGGAAGGGGAAGGGGGAACGCCTGAGGCAGGCTATCCTGAATAGGACAGTTGTTGAGAATGACGAGCAGTAACTCATTTTGAACCTAAAGATGACTTCCGCATAGGTTGTCCAAACGTCAGTCACAGTCCTACTCTCTCCCACCCACTCACCTACCTACTTAGGATTTCATTTTATAAACTTTACAGCAAGTTTAAATCGAAGCAAGTACATAAAACGCCAAAACCTTCAAGTCAGTGGACTTTTTATTCTTTCTTGCTTTGTAGGTATAAGGCTCCGCTCAATTCACGCCATTCTGCATTCATGAAGACATTTACATGTAGCGTCATCTGCGATAATAAACCCGACAGTCATCTCTTCTAAAAATTTGGGTAAAAATTTGAACAGCTCTCGAGTCAATAACAAGCGAACTTTGAAATTAAAAAGCCAGCTTGCAATTGCCTTGTTTGCTGGTGTCAATCATAATTACGATCACAACTAACGAGTCTTGAAACAGAAACACAAAACAGATCGAAATCCACCAATAGGGGTATACAACTGGCTGCCCAGTCCGCTCTATTGTCCATGCAGGCTGAGAGTTCGCTGGTGGATGCCACCCGAGCGTCCCTCATCAGAGTGTCTATAAATGAAGACACTGGGCGGCCGCGTCCTAGGTGTCCGTGTGTTGGCCGCCACAGGACAAGCTGGCTTGCTGGAAATTCGCGGGGACGGTTGCAATGGCCAGTAAGGCTAAGCCTTCTGAATCCGATCCTGTCTGACAAAGTTGGAAGGTCGCCGTACAGTTCGGCGATGGTAACTCGATCTCGCCAACTGGCATTAAGAACACGGCGGAAAAACGTGCGTCTCAATTTTGGCCCAATCTCGAAACCTCGGAAAAGTTTTTGATGGATCTCGAAGTCCCGTGTTCGGGTGATTTTTGCGTCTCGGAGTCTCGAATTTTTTTTTCAGTATTTTTTGCCGACGGGTTTCGGAGTCTTGGATTTGTCATTTTTTCTTTCCGTTTGGTCTTCAGGAGTCGAATTTTTGAGAGTTCACGAGAGTTCATGCCGATACAGATTATCGAACTGAGTTAGTATATTAAGAAAGTAAAACAAGGCAATATATTGGTGGGCTTCCGTCTCGGGCTCGAAATTTTAAAACTAGGGTCCTGCAGTCTCGAATTTACCATTTAATACTCCTACCAATCACAAACCTCTAACCACGACCTTTTAATTTCGTTGAAGTAAACGTAATTTTCCTAAGATGATTGACGCCAGGGAAGAACGCAAACCTTAGTTGAAAAAGCGCAGTACTTAGCCATTCTTGTGGTAGTAACCTTTACCTTAATATTCTCTTGGTAATGTTAGTAGCGTTCTTGCTGTCCTCAAGCAATGATCTTTCGGCAAACGCAAACTTTATGGCCTCTACAATATAGTGATAGGTAAGGTTCTTGTCTTGATCTCCTCGAGTAAAGTTAAATCCTTCCAGTATATTCAGCATCGATACCAATACGGGTCCACCGGATGGAAGAGGAGTAGTAATCACCTGATAACCTAAAAACAACAAAAACGATGCCATGATAATAAAAACACCATGTCTTTTAATTGAACCAGCTTTGTAAGAGAAGTTAGGCACTGGTTATCTCCGAGCTAGCCTGGCACCAGGCTCCTTAGTTGGGGAAAAGGGAGAAAGGCTATAGTTAGGTAATAGGGACTGAAGGGGAAAGGGTGGCCCCGGCCATTCCCCCACTTCCCCTCTTCCCATCTCCCCGCGATAAATATCCTTCTTTCCCCAACGGAGAGCCTGTTCACAAGCGGTTGCCGATCGTTTCGATAAAAGTTTTTATTCAGTCCAGATGTAAATAGTTTCAAATACTTGGCGTAAAGAACAAAGAACATTCACGGCAAATGTTTTTCTTGTTAACGCCTAAACTTAACTTGAAGTGGTCAAATTTTTTGTGCAATTGAACTTCTTGGGTTCGAATCGAAACGACTTGTATTGAAACGACTAGTTTCGTCACAAGTAATATCCAAGCATGCCACCACATTTGGCCTTACAAGATGGCAGTTGTTCAAAAACACTGAACAACCCAAATAATACCGTAGAAAAAAGATGCATCTCCTCTTTTTCCCAGCAAAAGAATTAGAAAAGACATCGCCTATTTTTACCCCAAACTGAACCAGTTCAAACCTGACACGATTTATTTGTCTTGGGCACGCACTTTGGTTTATCTGGGTGAATAGATACATGTAGCTTCTCAAAAAACCAGTTAAACGTACTCAGTTAACCAAATGCATTCAACACTTACCTAAGAAAGAAGCATTAATGGCATCCTTTAAAATTGGTTTGTATTCTTTTAGATCTTCTTTTGTGAGTATTCCATTTGCAGATTTGACCTAAGCAAGTTGAAAATGCAAATTAACGAATGCTAAAATGTTCATTGTTCATGAGTTCGAACTCTGAAAGTAACCTGTAGACTTTATACATTTTTTTTCTATTTACAATGTTTAAACTCTTTTTATACTAAATATGATTTTGAGAATGGAAAGAGGCCTTCATGTATGCAAATATCATTTGTCAGAGAATTCAAGAAAAATGGGTAGAAAAAAGAAAATTAATATGTTGATATTCAGACTATTGTAAGCCAGCACTTACACCACAAAAGAAAAGACGTGTCAAAAAATCTCTCTCTATAAGCAAAATCGGATGTTAATCATCCCTTCAAAGCTATCATAACAAGGCGATACTTGAAAAGCAACTGCGATGAGACAAAAGACTGACTGGAGTCTCTGAATTAATTAGACTGTTCACAGACCCCTATTTTGTTTTCACAAGAAGGTCAGGGTCGAGCACTTACCGGTATGGGCAGCCATCTTGGGTTCATATGCACCGAGGGGGCTGGTGTCAATTTGACACTCATCCCCCGACTAGAAGCGGAACATTTGAAACCAAGATGGTCAACCATTCCGCAAAGTGCAACATCTTGACGATCTTATGGAAAGAAGAAACAGACAAAATCTCCCTCAATCCACGAATAATCTGGAAAGCAGTCATTTCCATATCATTTTAGCCAAGCTGGAGAGGTGTACATGTAGGAGATGCTTGAGAGCATGGGGTGTAAAAGAGCAAAAAGATAAGGAGTGCAGGAAAGGACAGAAAAAGAAAAATGGGGTTCATTTTCTTCCCCACCCCTCACCCTGCTTTTCATTTGCTCTGCTCCTTTACACCCCTATTTTTTTGCCCTGCTTCTCTAGTTCAACTAAAAAGAACAGAGAAGATGGCTATGGAGGCCAGCCCATGGACCAACAAGCTGATTGGTCTATTCACAGCTATTGACAAATCATTAAGAGCTTTTTCCTCTTATGAATCCCTTCCTTGTCTCTTCGTACCAATCCTTCTTTTACCTGTTTGTTTTATGTGAGCTTTTTTTTAACCAAGAGGAATTAATTCAAGAGAAATTCCTGACGGAAAAGAGACTGACTGCATGGATTTTAAGAAAGCACAGGGTGCTTTTTTTACTTTAAACGTGACTGCACCATATTATTTGAAACTACTTACTGCAGCTTCTATACTGTCTGCTATACGTCCACTGTACAATGCATCAGCACCTTTATCTGCTATTTGTTGTAGTGTTTTTGCCAGAGCAGGATTGCTCATTTTATCCCCTTGCTAAAAATTTTAAGGAGAAACAGTTGGGGTTGAACTTCATATTATTTGAGCTCGTGGGAAGACTTGTGAAAAGGAATAATAATAAATCACAACAAAAACAAAATGACTCAATAATCATGATGTACATTTTAATGTGCATGAGTGTACTTTCAAGTGGTACTTTTGTGATCAACATTTGATTAACGTCCCTTTTATGCCCAGGGGTGCCACATATATGAAAATAGCAATAATAAAAGCTTAAAAAGCCCATCTTATGAAAAAAATTCTAAAAAACCAACAGGAAATAGTTAAAGTAGTGCTCGACAGGTTTCAATAGAATTAAATGGCCAGATGATAGGAACTCATCCTAAGAGAATATTAAAAAAAAAAAGCTGGAACACCAATAAAACATCTCCTGGACTAAGCAATGGTTATAAAAGCATTATCTTGCACTTAAAAAAAGCATTAACTTGTATTTTTGTATCCATAGCAGACACCCATTCTTCGTAGAATGGTCATTTTTAAAACACACCCCTTCAATGTCCAAAAACATAGATCTCGTTGTATTATAAAGTTACCACCTTATCACGTGCTTTTTAAATTGATATAAATAAGGCAAATTATTTATAATTAATTTTATATGTTATGGATCGAAAGTACATGTAAATTCAGGTTAAAATTATTTAACCTAGGTTGATTCTCAATTTCCTTTGTGTCCTAGCCCTAATTATTCCACTTATGTTCAGAAATGCATGCGGTGCCGAGAAAGATATAATTATTTTAGTGTATACCAATACAACATTACCTTTAAAAAAACACCCTGTGGTGCAACAAGTTTTCCCAGCTGTGTGCTAGCTACATCTTCTATTTTTAGTGTTGTTAGACTTCTCTCTGCAAAGTCAACAGTTTCATTCATTTAGCATTAATTCCACCAGCCTTCATCTATCTCACCCTTAATTATCACAGACACTTCCTTCTGTTTCTATCTTTTCCAATTTTTTCTCTCTGGATTTGAGAGTTTTCAGGAATAGAGTCCATGTAAGGAGAGGTTTGAAAAACTATTCAATGTGTCAGAGCAAGCAAGCTAAGATAGGAGACAGTTTAAACCATTCTAATAGCAGACCCTCCATTACAATAGAAATTGGAAACCTATCAATGCAAGAAAATTTGGTTATAATGTCAGCGAATGAAGCCCATATAGACTTTCACGGAGGTACTATAAAATCTCTATTATTAAGCATTCAAATCATAATCATGGCAGGTGTTACTTAAAAGAAAAGATCCATGACAAAAATAATGGTACAAAAAAGCTCAACACTACTGAACCTTGTGGTTGTCTGTTATTGGACAAAGATTTTCAGCCTCACCTGTATGTTCAGTGACTCTAAATCCTTCTTTTGCAATCTTAATAGCAGGCTTGATCACATCTGACCACTTTAACCTACATGTACACATGTAATACAATCATGTATATAAAACTTTTGTTTATCATGACATGAAAATCTTTCTCATTCACTGGAGAGCTTAAAATTTCCAATGTTGAGACTATAATCTAAGTTTATAATATGATGATGATGATGATGCGCTTAGAACAGCGATGTATAAGCGCTATATAAATTCCATTATTATTATTATTATCATTATTATTATGATGATGATGATGATTATCATTATTATTCATTACCATAGAGTGTGTTCTTGACATGGCTGGTCCTAGCAGCAATTGCAAGAGGTATCATGTATGTCACAATATAAAGGCCTTACTCTCCATTTAAGCCTCTCAGTAGAAAAAGCATCTACCAGGTCTTTGAGAGGTATATAATAGCCGTCAAGAATTATTACACCTTTAACTAATAATTTACTACTGAGCATAAAATTAACCATAATCATCAATCAGCAAAACGTTATCAATGATGCTACATGTTTCTGAGAAAATGTGCAATCAATATTGGGGATAGGACATACAGCTTGGAGAAAAGTACATTAAAGGCAGCTATGATTTCGTAAATTTGTTGATGTATCATGATCAAAATATCTCGATATCTCGTGGAAATATTGATTATCATCATAGGAAGAAATCTTGTCACCAATACATTGGTGCAGTATTGCAGTCCTGGCCTAACAGACACTCTTTTAGCACTGCCAGAAGTTGCCTTCTTGTGACCCCAGCTTTGAGAGTGATTCTCAACTTACTTGCCATACTTCTTGTGTGCTGCTTCATATCCTCTAATTTCTCCAGGCACAGCCACTGCTAAGCCACCCTAGAATTATATCAAAATAAGAATGAAGCACACAAAGAAGGTTTAATGGTACTTCTTTTTACAACTACAACAACAAAATATTTTTTCAATTTCATTGATACAGCCTCCCTTGTTTTGGAGTAAAAATAGCTCTAATGACTTATGATGACAACTTTTTCAAACCCAAGACACTCATGGAGAAGCACTAGCTGAACCTACAGAGAGTACAGTGTGTGGTGCCTGCTTTTAAAAGAGAGGCTTACCGGTAGTTTTGTTACCTTTGGCTTTATAATAATTATGGTTCTAAGCTCCTTTAAAGGTAATCGTGAATATAGTTGATGCCAACAAATAACATTAACCATTTTTTTCTTACCCAACTAGCAAGAGACTTATTTCCATGAAACATGTTCTTAGAAGCAGCCATTGGTGCAACCTCTCTGAAATCAACCACTGTTGCTACTTCTCTGTTTTGTTCAGGAACTACAATCAGCATAAAACCACCACTGCGAGTGATAAATTAATGCAGTTACAATATTTAGACAATATTGTAGTTACACACTGACAGAAAATATAATCAAACTATGTGAGTATACACAGTGTCACATCAATTGATTGTCATTATCTTCTAATGGTAGTCAAATAAGAAGGTCACGCTGGATGTATTCAAATAAAAAACAACACAGACATCACCATGCAGATAGCACACTTATGTTGGGTAGCCTGTGTTCACACGTTCATCACCCTATACACCAAGATTTTTTACTTTTGCCAGTGTACAGTATGATTTTTTTTTTGAGTATCAGGCTTTTTATAATGCTCAGATATGTACACGACAAGAACCCTCAATTAATTTATGCTAGTTAGGGATGTGCATACATCAATTAATTGGCAATGTGGTCCACTTTCTTTTTTCTAAATTTCATGTATGATATACTTGTTTATCATGATTAAATACTATACAGTGAAACCCCACATTACAGCCACTTTTTTGGCCATCCAACAAAACGGCCGTACATTTTCTTGTAAAAAACACTTGTTAATACGGTCACCCGTTAATACGGCCAAATGTTTTGGCCCATTGGCAACCGTATTAACGGAGTTCCATTGTACATAGAAAAGTTAACTGAGCACTACCTTTCATTGCATATTAAAATCGTGCTAAACACAAGTTGGATGGACATTGTGAGCAGGCAACAGCAAGAGTGAGTAGCAAGTATATGCGTCTGTATCTTTTGTAATGGATGTCGCGCATGTTAGTCACTGCATTTACATGTTTTTTGTGTATTTAAACAGTGGGACCTGAGTCCCAATATCAGCAACATGCAAGTTTTATGTTCTGATTGATTCTCATGAATCCAAATGTCCCGAAGGTTTCAAAGTAAGGCAAAAACATACCCTCCCAATCCTGAGCTCTCTGGGTTCATGACACCAACACATAACATACTCCCAATAGCGGCATCAACTGCTGAGCCACCTTTCTTGATCAAGTCCAACCCAACATCAGCACATTCTTTTACATCTGATACAACAGCTGCATGACCTATAGAGAAAATAAAATAGTAGACCTGATTGCTGACTTAAAATCAAAGAATGATTGCAAGACAGGAGAAAATTTGGTCACCAGAAAATAAGGAAATTTTGTGAAAAATCACATAAGTAAGTAATCAAAATGGCCACTCGAATAATTTTATTGCAATTTGGTGACAAGGAAGAGGTAAAAGAGTTGAATTTTTAAGAAAACAGAGTATAAATAACACTTCATTCAAAAAAGACTAATAATATCTCACTTAAAATTTAGAGACACCATAAACACTAACCAATAAAAACCTAAAAAAAAAAACAAACAATAAAAACCCAAGATTTGGCATACGACAATTAAACAGAGCAATAAATAATTCCATTGCCTATTCTCTTAGAGACCATACAAATGGCATCAAAATGCTCCAATCAAACAAGGAAACTTTCAAAACAATATCAGTAAGAAAGTACTGGGCACTTTTAAGACTTAACTTGAATTCATGACCGCACATGAAAGCTTGACCATGCATTCAAAGTAATAATTATTACAGTGAGATAACTCAGCTTTACTTTTGGCTTAAGAATAAAAGGGTTAGCCATTGTTTGATACCTGTATGATGACTTCCGGTGTAGATATCAATGATCAGAGCTGCTGTTATAGCAGTTGCAAATATCATGCACGCCAGTATGATCATACGGACCTCTCGTGCTCTGTTGCGCTTTCTGGTCACATGATGCCCACTGCTTATTGGTGGAATCTGTAGACAACAAGCCAAGCACCATATCAGTGCATTCAGGGATGGATCCAGAAAATTCAGATGGGGATGGCCAGATTCTTGCCAGCCATATATAGATACTATTTATCTATTTTGGGCTTGGAGATGAGTTCACTGCTCCTAAGTTGTCTGTACATAACCTAGGAGTCATCATGGATAATTGCTTTTACATGGAACAACATGTAAAAAAGATAATTATGTGGTGAGGCAAATTATCATCTCAGGAATATATCAAATATTCACAAATATCTCACCCAGGAATCTGCTCAAATTCTCATCCATGCTTTTATTGTACATGTAGTTCTGAGCTTGACTACTGTAACTCACTTCTATGGTATTCCAAAATACTTAGTTTGTAGATTACAGCGTGTTCAGAATACGGCAGCTCGCATTGTCACATTGACAAGGAAGTATGATTCGATTACCCCAATAATGTTCAAGCTACACTGGCTCCCTGTACATTCACATATTTTTTTTAAGCTCCTGTTATTAGTCTATAAAGCAATCAATGGCAAAGCACTCTCTTATATTTCTAGTCTCCTGAGCCATCATAGGTGCTCTCGGTCCTTGCGCTCCAGTGGGCAAGAACTGCTTACTGTGTCACTGGCTAAACTAAAGACTTATGGAGATTGGGCATTCAGCATTGCTGCGCCAAGGCAATAGCATAACTTGCCTCTTAGCATTTGTAAATCTCCATCAATTGCTATTTTTAAAAGACATTTAAAGACTTATCTTTTTAAAGAAGCCTACGGTTTTTAACTTCTATTAATTTTTTATTACACACTTTTTATTTCTTTCATTATCTGTAATTGTATCGTAGTATTTTTAGATTTTAGATTTTTAACTTTCATTTCTTGTAAAATGTATACATAATTATTTTTAAGCTTTGTAACTAATTTACCTTGGTATTTTATTTTAATTCTTAGCTTTTAGGTTCTATGTTAACATAATCATTGTAAAGCCCTATGAAAGAGTAGCTGAATAGCGCTTTATAAATTATTATTATTTATTATTTATTATACTGAGAATTCTTTAAAAATACTACTAAATTTCACAGAAAAAGGCATGGCCCAGTCCACTTGGCTGACCCCGGCCCTTAAATCCACCCATGGCATTTATGCAGGGCTTCTAATAGGTCACAGAAAAAAGTCAAATTTTACGGGATTTTCGGCTTTTTGTTAATTGGCAGAAAAATCGGCTGATCTTGCCGGACATTTCAGGGCAAACTTTGCCGAGAAACAATCCGTAAAAAACAGCTCGTTGCGATGGAATGTTTTGGGCAAATTTTGCTAAAATCTATCAGTTTTGCATTGATCTGACCAGCATTGTTAGCGTTTTTAACAGAGGTAAGCATTTGCTCTTTCAACAATGTGCTTGAGAAATGAGCCAATCTACAGACGATGTATGTGTCATCAGTATGGCATTACTCTCCTCGAGGTGCAGACATCTCTCCCATAAAACATCCTCAGAGGCAAGGAGGGAAGAACGACAGCTGTGTTTGCAACCTGGCAAGAGACCTCATGTGGTTTGATTTTTGTAAAGGAACGTCTCGTGTGAGCTACCACTACATGTAGCCCAGGTAGGTCTTTGCATTTTGGGTAGTCACTTACAGGAGGTTCAACTGTATTTTGAAAACGGCACAATGACCATTGAAAATCACATTCAAAGATGTTTACTGCTAAAAATATTGAGCTCATTCTAGTGTTGAACAAGCTCTGTAGGGGAAACTTTTAGCTACATAATACATCTTACGTGTACCTGTCCTTTGCCAGTTAGAATTGCTGAAAAGTTATTAAACATTATGGGGTGTATATATAAATGCAAAATTTGCAATAAATTTACTCTACAAATATAAGCAAGCGAATATTAACGTTAAAAGCTGACGTTTCGGTATCATCATGACACCTTCTCAAGGCAAAATGAATAAATAATGCTAAGATTTGATTTCTATAGTTTCTACAAATTAGCATAATAATTTGCATTAATTTAATAATTTGCCATAAAGTCTCTTTTATATTCTACAAACCGAGTGCAAAGACTAATCATACATACTAACGAGAACTTTTTCATGGTAGTTATGTGCAAACAAGCATGCGAAATGTAGCCTATGTCGACAACTGTTTATTTGCCTCCAGAAATTCAGCTCTAACTGCCAAAATTCCCTTTTCCTGTTTTCCTGAGTCATTCAGTACGCTAGTATTCACTAGGCAAATCACTATCAAAATGATGTTGTGCGGCTATGTGTTTAGCTAATTTAAGCTCATTTACGTATACGTTAACCCTAAATGAAAACGAATCTAACCGTGCTGATTAGGATCAAGTTACACAAACAATAGACAAATTGTTTAACTACAGTGGTTGAATTAGAGGGAAAAGCTTAAAAGGAGCGTACGCAAATTAAACTTTCGATCTGATGGCTTCCGTTGGTCCTAACCTGTTGTTCCCAGCTGTGTTCCTCATTATGCTGAATAAGACGATCTGTATCGTTCGCAAAGTTGGTCATCTCTGCTTCGCCAGCCATTTCTCATATCTTGTTCCACAATAAACGGTGATTAGAAGGAATTTATAGACGGAAAAATACAGCTGTTTCTGAAAATGGTCTCTTCTCTTCGGCATTAACAATATCGGTACCAGATCTCTCTCCTGCATAGTTCATGTGCACAGCATACCCAGATGATTGCGTACTGGGAGTCACCGGCTGGGTATCCCGGGGGCCGGGCTGGGTATGCACCGCTCTAAACATATCACATATGGTCGCCGCTTACGAGAGCTTAGACCCGGTTCAGACGCCGGCTCCACTCATATGCCGAACCTGACTGATGAATTAAGTACGGCAAAAGAGCGGCGTCTGAATCAATTTGGTGCGGCAGTTTTAGATTATTGCGGCAAAAGCGTTATTAAAGTTCGACAGAGTCTGTTTAACTTTTGTCGAACTTAACTTAGGTAATTAGGTTCAGCAAATGAAAAGTAGGGCGTCTGAACCGGGCCTTATTCTCGTAAACGATCAGCTCTGTTTGTAGCCACTTCCCGACATTCCCGAGGTGGTAGCTTTATGTCTTTCCAAGTGAAAAAGGTCACATGATGAACTGTGACGTCAAATGTGCATCTTGAGTTCCAAGCCACCAAGCCCGCAGTCGCCCAGTTGAAATCTTTAAAATCCTTGTCAGACTCAAAGAAGCAGCAAGGGTCCTGGTCAACGGTCATTCCAGACTACATATAAATAGCCGGAGAGTATAAAACCTCGGATACAAAACACGGAAAATAGTAACCTTTAAAGAGGGTGACACCTTTTACTATGAAAATATTTTCCCTAGTGGCCCTCTAAAAAAATAATGATAAAAAGCCTATGAATAAAGAGTGATTACAATAAAAGAATGATCTTAAAAATTCTTTAAAATTTAAATACTGGAAAATTGTGAAATGTTAAAAACGAATGTGAATAGATTAGTAAAAAGGAGAATCTGTCTACAAGGGATATTAAATACCTACGGAAATTTAAAGACTCAGAATAACTTTTTAACTTTAAAATTGTCCACCCCTGTGATGGTTCGAGGCGGTGTTATTAATCGGTAGTCTTCATCAAGCTAAAGGAGGTAGTTGGTTCTAAGTTAAGAGCATTGTATTCTTTTATGGACGAATAGAAGAATGTTCTCCTCATTGCTTCAGTTCTGGGTTTCGGTAAGCTGTAAAATGGTCAGCGGTATGTGAGCTAAAAGTTTGTTTTGAAAATTACAGGGTAATGCGCGTGGGGACGGATTCTTTATCATAAAACAAATTAAAGAAGCGTTGACTGTGCTCAGTCCTGTACGTTGCTGTCCTGTTCTAAAGCAGTTAGGAAGCGGCTGGAGCTGCTGCCATTTACAAAAGAGCGATTTCAAAACAAAACCAAATAAAACGAACCCTTCGCTTCGCATCAAGGTTGGCAATGCTGAAAGTATTCAGTTAATGTCAGCAGAAAATAGGACATTCTCTTCCAATAAGCACTTTTAATCGTAAAAAATCTTAATAAGCATGACAGCAACGTTTTTTACAGGAAATAATGAAAAGAAAAGTGGTAATTCAAAGAACTGTTACTCTATAGTAAAAAATACTATAAACGGAAAGTTTTTGCCATAGAAACATCAATCATCGGTCCGCGATCAATCAAAGTTAATATGGCCATAAGATGAACTCTGCTAATTATTTTGTACCCGCCTGTTTATTCGATCATGACACATATCAGTTTCCAGAGATTATTCTTTTGGCTTTTTATTTCTCATTGCAGAAAAAATCAATGGAAAAATAAAATTCACTTATCGTCCCGTATTACTAAAATAAAGATATTTTAAGGTAAAAGCCAAATAACTAAAATATTTTTTTAGAGCAAAATTATGTGCACCTGTCGAAATAATAAGAAAATAGAGCTGCGCTTTATTAGATGATCGATTTTAGAGCTTGTTTACAAACGAATTTGAGAGCTGTCATGCTCCTCATGCAAATATATTTTTTTCTGCAAAACCTTTAAGGTATTAAAAACAATGCAACATTCTCAGAGAGAAACGATTTGCGGCTCAACAAGATCGTCTAAAAATAGATAAAAGAGAGTTATGCCGAGTTGCGCGCGGCCTCCCTGACGCATCGCTAAGAAAAAATTAATAACAAATCAAAAAAAGCAATAACAACTCTAACCTCCATTTTCACGGGCTAAGCTGTTCAGCCATTTGTTTTATCTTGGAAGCAAACGCAGGTAAGTAAATGTAACGTACACTGCGATGAAGGTATCACTGGCAAAGATTAAACGCTACAAACAATTCCTTGTCTTACTCAAGGTCTTATATGTTCACCCCTTAATAAGGCACATAATTAACAATCATCGCTGAAACATTTACCCCTCATTTATTGTAAAATTAACCCGCGAAGTCTTTAATTACATGAAAACATATAACTGACCAATAAGGTGTCGTCAACTAAAAAGCAACCTGCAAGTCCGCGCTTTTCCATTCATAAGCTTTTTTTCTGAAGAACTCGAAAAGCGTCTGTTTAAGCAAATGTGAAAAATGCGCGAGCAAAAGGGAAAGAAGTGAGCAAACATGAGCCTCTCTATAGGTATCTGCCAATTCTCGACGCCATTTTAAATTATGCCTTTTAACCGATTTATGATAAGTGAATGAAATCAACAACATGCAAGTCATTTACTACATTATATTTGTGTGTGTTTTTTTCTTGTTGTGTCGCGTCGTTGAACTGCAGTTAGCCGAAAGTTGATCAAAACTGATGGCAAAACGTTTTTCACATGATCACAACGATAGCAGATCAGCCAGACAAAACGTACTGAAGTCTTTCTCTTCTAGTTTGTCACAACGATCGCTCGATTGTACGTTGTTTTCAGACCTCTACGGTCGTTACGATTGGCCCTAAATTAACAAGTGATTATTTGGAAATCAGCCTTGAAACAGTCCTTGTCCCATAATCCGAATATGGCCTGCATAAAGTAGTTTAGGTCGTAGTCAGTAGATACTCAGTCGCAGCCGCTGACCACGTTAGTATGGTATCCGTCAAGAGGTGGAGAAAAACCGCGGATGGTGTCATCATTTAAAGCCTGTAGCATGCGTACAGATAGTTGGTAGCGGCGGAAAGTAAAGAAATCAAAGTGTTTTTCATTTTTTTTGGCTCGCCTTTTTACCTAGCGCCGCTTCCAACTATCTGAAAGCCTTGAACAGGCTAGGAATTTAGACGGGGGAGGGGAATAAGATTCAGTTTTCCACCATAAATGACATAAAATGTCTTCGCGTCTTAAAAAGGCTTAGCTCAGTATAAAGACCTTAAATATCTTAATTAGAACAGCCAACAACACCTGTTCTTATAAAATGAGAAGCGTCAGCTGATCGAGGCGTCTTTACAAGGGCGATGAAAACTTCATTTAAAAACTGGCAGCTGGTGGCCTTAAATTAACATGTGACAAGAAATCAATGTTACCATGAGGGACTCAAATAGACAATAAATTATTAAAAGTAGGCAAAGCACTCGACGCGTGAATATTTGGCCTGTAGCCGATGCATTTAAATCAAAGCAGTTTAACATTTTAGTCGATGGTGAGATATTAGCTTTCGGCGTTGCCTCAATGTGTTCGAGACTCGCTTGAAAAAGATGACTTCTGTTTTGTTATGTACCTGACCAATGCGGTTTTACACCATGTCGAGAAAACGGGCAATTCTTTTGTTATTATTTAGATGTTTATTTTATCTTCACTCTGTAATTGGGTTAAGCAACACTACTTTTTCAAGTTTGGCGATTTCAGTTAAAAACACAACAATGGAAAAATCGAATAACCCATTGAAAGTAAATAACGGCGGAAGACGCAACTACAGTCATTGGAAAAGCCGACATGTTGTCAAGCTGGTGAATGTAGGAAAACGTTCTAATTTTACCAGCATTTCCGCAGCTTTAAGAGCTAACAAGAGAGCAGAGGATACCCTGGAGGATACTGTACTACGTTCAGCATTTCAAACCAGAAAGTTAAAAGAACAACTTCAAAGGAGACAGGTAAGTTTGATTGTACTTGTTTCACATCATAGAGATGGGGCTGCTTGGAACGGTGGTATAACCTGAATGCAAGAGTAAGAGAAGTATCTATTCTATTGCTATAGGAAAGGGGAGCGTGGCTTTGTTGATTGCAGGGTGTGTGTTTAAATACCCTGCTTTCAGAGACCTCTTTTCTTTTACAAGCAAAATTATCGATATGTCCTGGATTCCAAACCCAAAACTCGGTAAAATCAGGTAAAATGAGGCGAATCAACAACACTCTTAAGTGCTTCATGTCACTGAGACCTGGATAAGCTCTAACCTTATAAATATGTGGGTCTCTTTACCCGTGAAGTTAGGCTCAGACGTTTTATTTTTAGACCTAGACCGCTGAACTGTGTGCATGTATCTGCAGATGATAGCCCCAGGGTATTACCAAGCTGAGTGTTCCGAAAAGAAGCCCTGTAAAGAAGGAATGTACTGTAATGTACTGTACTGCGAGAAATGTCACAAACTCAACGTGGCCTGCAACGCTAATGAGCAGTGCTGTGAAGGAATGGTCTGCACTTTTGGGAGGTGCGAGAAAAAGTCCAAAGGAGATCCAGGTAGCGTAAATATTTAGCTTAAAGCCTTAAAAGGGGAATTAGAGTTACATACGTTTGTCAACGATGACTGTCATGACTGGACCGGCAAACGATTACAGCTAGTACTGATCACCTGACCAAGGTTTTCCCTTTTCTGTTCATATAGAAAAACTAGTAGTTTCTTGTCAGTTGCATTAGAAATTATTTATAACAAGAACGCGCTTACAGGCGGCGTCAGTCTTGCTTGCTTGGAGATTACATTGAGAAATGAGGAGGCGATTAATTCTACGCAAAACATGATTAACTCGCTAAAGGTTTTTTACTTCCTACTTTATCGACGTCGATACTTTTTACTTGTTTCTGAATTGATTTAGTACGTGTGTTAGCGACGATCGGAAATACGTCTACCGTCGCAGGCTGTACGCGTTTTTAAATACACGAAAATTCAAGGGCCTCGATTCCAGAGAAATAACATCATTGCCAGAGATCAAAAAGTGATTTACATGGACGTACAATAAATCGCATGCTCATCACAAAAACCATTTGCATACAATGAAAGTTTACAACACCCGACCATCGCAGTTTTGCTAATTAAGATTCTTATTTTTTTTTTCCGACCACTCAGTAGTGTTCACTTGTTCCAAAGTAATCAACGCTTTCAAGCGATAGAATTTGTGGACCGACACGTTTCGGAAAAGCTCTAAATTTAATCTTTTCTAAGCTTTCTTCGCAAAACATGCGATCACGCAACGATTCCTAGTCCCACTTTCGACGGTCTCCGCAAGGAACGCCTGGTACAATGACCCCCCATTTGTATATCAAAATACGACGAAAAACCCCAGCTAGATACTTCCAGAAAAATTGGGTGGGGATGAACGGCATGCTTCCTGAAACCCTTACCCTAATTTCAGACCAAAATCGGTGATTTTGCCTACCCTATTTCAGACCTGAAGCCCTGGAGCCCGGCTCGTGACCGAAGCGCGTGACAAGCTGTTACGGCAGGTACACGGTTGGCGTAAACATCAAAAGGGAAATGGTCTTATCGCCAAATGATGAAGAAGAAGCTTCATCTAAAAAACATATTCAATTCAAGACTAGAGTGCACAAACCATACCCTATTTCAGACCAAAACGGATAAAAAAGCCATACCCTTTGGCGACGCACATACCTATATAGCCTATATAAGGGAAGTAAACCCCCCCCCCCCCCCCCCCTGGGCGAAAAACGAGTTGCTTACGCAAGCGAGACTAGTTATTTGAATCTGACGTTTGCCGATGTCGTTAACATCAGTGGAGTGATTCTAAATCTCTCTACTCACTCAGCAACAAAGAATTAAAAGTATTGGACTTAACTGAAAGAAAAAAAGGACAGATTGCGGTTATTCAATTCTCGTCGAACGTGACAGGACTTTCAAAACGGGAGTCTACAACTTTTAAGCGTCAGTCTTTTTCTCATCTGTTCGTTCGAAGCAATTAAAGAGTGCCTAATATAATTAAACTTTGACAATTCCACTAGCTGCATAAAGCACTCATTTTTTACCCAACAAGCCAACATGTTTCAGCTGACTGACTCTCAATTCTCCTGGTTCTCGTGTAACGGAACCAGGTTTTATTATAAGCTGCCGCTGGTCGTTTTTCAGCCATTAATATCGCCAGCCGATTAAGGGTCCAGCGATCGGATGTCTGATCTCCTTCGTCCAAGTTTAAATTAATGCAATCAAAAGATGTTAAGGAAATCACTGAATAATTGTCTACAGTCAACTAACATTAAATTCAGGCTATTCACCTCAAGACGGACCGGACTTCTCACTTTAATAGGCTCCAAGAATCATAAAGAGCTGGTCGGGTCTTGTGGTTATTCAGTATTTTTCTTTGTTTCTTCTTCTTGTTCTTGTTCTTGTTGTTCTTCTTTTCTTTCTCTCTCTCTCTCTCTCTCTCTCTCTCTCTCTCTCTCTCTCTCTCTCTCTCTCTCTCTCTCTCTCTCTCTCTCTCTCTCTCTCTCTCTCTTGTTTTTTCGCTGCCTGCTAAGGTGGTAGTCTAAGATTGACAATGAGTTACAAACGAAACTTTAATTTGCGTTTGTGCGTACGTTTAAATATTTATTGTGTTTTGAAACTGCTTATTTCAGGCACATTCTGCGAAAAGGATAGCGATTGTAATGATGCTTGTTGTGTGCTGGAGCCAACCATAAACTCTCATCTTCCAATATGTAAGCCAACACTGGGTGAATATCATCAATGTGCCGCCATTTTGTATCGAAAGATCTGGGTCGGAGACAAGCCAGACTGCGGACCGTGTAAGCCTGGCCTCGAATGCGTCCAGAAAGGGTCGGTAATTCAAAACAGTATGTAAAAACCCCCAGTAAGAACCTGGCGGGTTTTTAAGAACCTATTAGGCTAAAATTTGCTATTTACGCCCCCTCTACAAAAGAACCTGTTTAGCTTTTTGAAACAGGTTCTTGTTTTCTAAAATCTATAAAAAAATTCTGTACACTTGGTCAAATAAGATAAGTCAACATTTAGAATCCCCTTTGCCGAGAATAAGCTGAATACCACTAAATACCCTTAGAAACAATGTATTTTTTCTTCAGAGCATAAGAACCTATTTAAGGACCTAAATAGCTTAATTAAATTTGTGGTACTTACCATTTATGTAAGAACATGTGCGGGCTATTACTTGGGAAAATGCAGGAAAACTCGCGGGTTTTTACCAACGAGGTACCATCGATGTTTCAAATTTATACATAAAACGTTACACTGATAATAAAAAGACAGTTCTTACCTGGCTATAGCAGATTAGGCTAGATAGATAGATTGGTAGATTGATAGTTTTTTTAGGCTTTAAAAGCATATGGCAATTAATTTTTGATAAGTTTATTTTTGGAAATTTGTGTGAGTGTGAAGCACCAGACAAAGTACACGTACCATAAGGTTTTCGAGTGTGAAAGAGGCCGGCTCTATTCAAAAACCTTCCAACTCCCTCTCCAGTGCCGGACACTAGTACTCATGAGGCAGGTATCGGTCACACTCAGCTTTTTTAGAGCTTATTTTAATAACCACAAAAAACCTCAAGTCAGTATCCAATGCGTCCGTAAAGAGAAAAAGTCTACCTCAAGGCCCCTCGATTTGAACCAAGAAACGATCTTTGAAAAAAAGGGTCTCAAGATTCCTTTCCCTCGACTAAGTCAGTGTGCTTTTAAAAGAATTCATTTCTGTGATTTACATTCTTTTTCACCAGCATTTTTGGCAGCCATGAGGTTTGTATCAAACCGGAGTGAAATAGACAAGAGCAATCAATCATCAAGCTACAGGTCTTCAAATGATTTACAAGTTCCTCTTCTAATAACTTCACATTATACGGCTTCCCGACGAGTTTCTAGAAGGAAAAATGTCAGCCTTAATTGTAGGCATATATAAAGCTCTCATGCTCATTGCATTCAGATTGAGTTGTCAAACTTGTTATAGTAAATAAAAACTAAGTACATAGTGACATACCTGCTTCAATACCAGTTTACAATATGAACACTAAACGAAACGGTATGCTGTTAACGGCATGAGTCAAATCAAACGGCAATAATGCTTGACAACAATTGGACTACAGGACTAAAGAAAGTCTGCATCATGCGTTGACAGTGTTGGGAACAGCATTTTAGGGTCAATAGAGCTAGTTTAATTTAGCTGGACTTTGTAAATTAAAGGAACGGCCAGAGGTCTTTATACCAGCAGCTTGCCGCAACTAGCCGAATAACAGTTTTTTTCCGTTTCCACGGTTGGTATTGTAACAATACGCTCATCAGACAAAACTGGTTGCCTGTTCCAGACATTCAGATGGTGGGGACGGCGTAAAGAGTTTTTTTTTGCCCTTTGGTGTGACCACGCCCGCCGCACTCCACTGTCTGAACAACGCCTGGAACACAGCACCACACAGGCTACAAAACCGGTGGAAACACGCCATAAGCATCAAATCAACAAGTGATGGTCATATCTTGACACACGTGCAGTAATGAATATTAAACCAACGTACAGCGATCTTATAAAGAAATATTGAACAAATCTCTAGTGATCTTATAGAAAAATAAAGACACTGAAGAAGCACGGGTAAATTCAATGGTCAATGCGCTTCGCTACCAGGACAATTCCCTCTCCGAAACCCATTCTAACTTCCGTGACTATTAATTTCCTTAACAGCTACTAACGCAGGGCTCTCAACCCCCCACGTGTTCAAATATTAGGGAGCTTAATAATAATAATAATAATAATAATAATAATAATATGCTTTCAAGCGATAGAATTTGTGGACCGACACGTTTCGGAAAAGCTCTAAATTTAATCTTTTCTAAGCTTTCTTCGCAAAACATGCGATCACGCAACGATTCCTAGTCCCACTTTCGACGGTCTCCGCAAGGAACGCCTGGTACAATGACCCCCCATTTGTATATCAAAATACGACGAAAAACCCCAGCTAGATACTTCCAGAAAAATTGGGTGGGGATGAACGGCATGCTTCCTGAAACCCTTACCCTAATTTCAGACCAAAATCGGTGATTTTGCCTACCCTATTTCAGACCTGAAGCCCTGGAGCCCGGCTCGTGACCGAAGCGCGTGACAAGCTGTTACGGCAGGTACACGGTTGGCGTAAACATCAAAAGGGAAATGGTCTTATCGCCAAATGATGAAGAAGAAGCTTCATCTAAAAAACATATTCAATTCAAGACTAGAGTGCACAAACCATACCCTATTTCAGACCAAAACGGATAAAAAAGCCATACCCTTTGGCGACGCACATACCTATATAGCCTATATAAGGGAAGTAACCCCCCCTCCCCCCCCCCTGGGCGAAAAACGAGTTGCTTACGCAAGCGAGACTAGTTATTTGAATCTGACGTTTGCCGATGTCGTTAACATCAGTGGAGTGATTCTAAATCTCTCTACTCACTCAGCAACAAAGAATTAAAAGTATTGGACTTAACTGAAAGAAAAAAAGGACAGATTGCGGTTATTCAATTCTCGTCGAACATGACAGGACTTTCAAAACGGGAGTCTACAACTTTTAAGCGTCAGTCTTTTTCTCATCTGTTCGTTCGAAGCAATTAAAGAGTGCCTAATATAATTAAACTTTGACAATTCCACTAGCTGCATAAAGCACTCATTTTTTACCCAACAAGCCAACATGTTTCAGCTGACTGACTCTCAATTCTCCTGGTTCTCGTGTAACGGAACCAGGTTTTATTATAAGCTGCCGCTGGTCGTTTTTCAGCCATTAATATCGCCAGCCGATTAAGGGTCCAGCGATCGGATGTCTGATCTCCTTCGTCCAAGTTTAAATTAATGCAATCAAAAGATGTTAAGGAAATCACTGAATAATTGTCTACAGTCAACTAACATTAAATTCAGGCTATTCACCTCAAGACGGACCGGACTTCTCACTTTAATAGGCTCCAAGAATCATAAAGAGCTGGTCGGGTCTTGTGGTTATTCAGTATTTTTCTTTGTTTCTTCTTCTTGTTCTTGTTCTTGTTGTTCTTCTTCTCTCTCTCTCTCTCTCTCTCTCTCTCTCTCTCTCTCTCTCTCTCTCTCTCTCTCTCTCTCTCTTTTTTTTTTTCTGTCTGCTATGGTGGTTGTCTTAGTTTTACTATGGTTTTCAAACTAAACTTTTTTTTTCTTTTGTGTGTTTGTTTATATTTTTTTTGTTTTTTTAATTTTGTTTTTTCAGGCATGTTCTGTGGATAGGATATCTTTTTGTATTGT